TTTTACAAATCAAGGGGCTTTGGAGCACCTTGATGCTACCAAAAGATTGGCTGGGCCCGAGCTAGAAATGAACGCTTACGCACATCTTGCTTCCAATTCCTGCTTCTTATCGTGCTAACGTCACGAATGTATAAATCTCGAATTATCTGCTAAGGAGCATCTTCAACTTCTTCGTTCATCAGTAAACAGGAGGCCGCCATTAGTACGGCACATATGCCATTTTTCCGATGATGATGGTGATCAAAGTGACCAGACTGAATTTCGGAAAGGGTCTATTCCCCTGGACAACCGGAGTAGTGATCGGAGCGTCTTTTGGTATTGGGGAAAAACTTTGCTGTTGTGGGCTGTGAAGCGCAGCTGACTGTCCAGGACCACACCAAGCAGTTTTCTTACTGCAACCCGGCGAAGAGGAGTTCATGCAAGGACGAGAGGAAGTGGAGAAGGTGGCTGCCGAGCGTGGTGAACAAGCGTTGAGGTGCACCAATTGGCTTTATTAAGAGGCAGGCGGTTTGAGTGCGATCACATGAGGACATGGTTGAGGTACGTCCTCCTGCAGCTGCGAGTAGTCGACGCTGGGACAGGCGACTGTTCTAATCAGGACCAAGTCATCGGCGTATAGCAAAGGCCTCGATACAAGGTTGGCGGTTATGTCGGTGATAAACATGTTAAATAAGGTTAGTCCTAACAGGCTGCCTTGTGGTATGCCCGACAGAACATCCGACCAGATGGAGCTAGCCCCGGGGTTCATAACTCGTTGGCGCGGCCGGTCAAAAAGGCGGCTATTCAGTCGAAACCGCTTCCTGTAATCCCCAAAAGGCGGACCCCCCGAAAAAGTAGGCCATGATCCACCAGAACAACCTCACATAGTAATCGATCGAGCATCCAAATTGTCGCTCAGTGTATGGACAGCAGTTGTGAGGGCTAGCTCACAACTGCGGTTTTTGCGAAAGTCAAATTTGATGGGGAGAAAGTAACTCCTCAGACTCTAAATTATCAATAATATTGGTGTTGATGATGCGTTTCATTGTGCGACAGATATTCGATGTAAAGGATATAGGTTTGTACGATGAAACTGTAGACGGTGATGCACCATTGCCCTTCTGGATGGGAGAGACGTGTGCTATCCTTCATTGTCATGGGACCGAGCCAGAGGAAATAAGGCTTCCCAACAGACTTGTAAGGACAGCACAAATTCGCATGGAGCACTCACTTATGAGTGCCGGGTAAAATCTATCAAGTCCGGCACTCTCTGTCGGCTTGGTTCGGTGCAATGCCTTCATAGTGTCGTCTACCGTTATGGTCAGTGTGGGAAAAGAAAGGGGTTCGGGAATAACCCTATCGGACGCTGAACAGACTTCCGACGTTGTCCATGCTGAAGAGAACTAGCTGTTAAAAAGTTCAACAAGGTCTTCAGGGTGTCGCACGGCACTGCCATCGACAGTGAATTCCGGCATAGCAGACGATTTTTCTCTGGCTATTAATGTAAGCCCAGAGCAGTTTGGGAGAGCGGGCGGCCTTCTCGGCGATTGCCTGTGCATAACGTTGGTGACATTGGTGAGTCAGGTTGCTCGGCTCTCTCTGAGCTTGTTCGGCGAGAGCAAAAAGCTCAGGGCTACGCTACACCTTAGCCTTCGGACACAGACACTTCTTACGATGCGAGAGCCGAATAATTTCCTTAGTGACCCACGGAGACTTACTGCAGCTCGGGACAGATTTCACGGGGGCACAGTAGCGCTGAATTGCATCCATAAAATGTAGCCAAGTTTCATAATCGGCACCGGATCACGTTGCCGCTAGTTCTGGCTGGAGCCACTTTAATGAGCTGCGCTTAGGGTATCGGCACTCCGTTCTCCGATCTGCTAGTGGCCGCCGCCATCTTGGTGCTTTGGACAGAGCAGACGCAACTGCCGACCGTCGCAATTCAAAAATGCGACATCCTCGGCTTTAGACACGGTGGTGGGAAGCTCGGGTGATATCGTTTTGCCCTGTCGCGAACTGTTCTCACACATTTCTGGAGGACGAAAAAAACGTTTCCTGCGATTTCAGATATCAAGCTTCGGATAACTATACTTCGTTTCAGCTTCGGTCCAGACGCGGCCGATGCTACAAGCGCGAGCATGTGGCCCAGAACAGTGCTTGCACTGCACGAGCGCGCGTGCTTGGCAGGGATGCTGAAGGCCCGGAGCTCGCGCTTGTAGCTTTGGCTGCGTCTGGACCGAAGCTGAAACGAAGTATAGACACCGTGATTTTATAAGCTCTAAAGGCCCGTTCACACTCTTGCGACCGAGTGCGACCCAGTACGACCGAGAGAGACCAGACCGGTTTTTAAGCCTCTTGCGATCTCTTAGGACCAGCTCCGCTGTAGCGCATCCGGTCCTAAAAACCGGTCTGGTCTCTTTCGGTCGTACTCGGTCGCAAGAGTGTGAACGGCGCTTAAGATGACTAGCGTGTCGTTATTCTGAAGCGTAGCTTATTTGGTGGCTCTGCATTTCTTTTTCTCTATTTTATTTCTTTGAGACTGCAAGTGCACCAGGATAAAAAGACTAACGCGTGTTTCGTGAGCCACGAAAACGTCGAGGATCGATTGTGAGCTGTATTTATTGAAAATAAAAAAAAAATTGTTGCACCGTTCTTTTAAAGCCGGGGTACTCACACTGCTTATGCATCGTACAGAAGGAAGCTTGGGGACATTGCCTGAGTCGTGTGTCTTCCTTGTACGACGCTCCCGCTAGATTAGGCATTAGGACAGTTTTGGCACATCCGGGCCCTCAGGTACGAAACGCGCATGGGCGAGTATTCTGCGCTAGCCCATGCGCAGTTCGCACCGGAGGGCCCATCGTACCGCATCGGATGTGCAAAAACGGTTGCCTAAAACTCTCCATTGTTCAAACAAAAAACCGTCTGCAAACACGTTCGAAGTATATACGCGTGTCAGGAATGTTGCAAGCATAACACGCTTGCAACATTCCTGAGGCGCGTCCGCAGACAAAGGTGTCAGCGTGTATATGTAGCGAACACCACGTGTTTTGTATATAAGGAACAGTGTGCCTGCCGCTTATTAAGGGGGCGGAGGCGCCATATTGGATTTATTTGCGACGTCTCGGCGGCGCTCGATATACACTCTAAAAAAGCCTCGAGTCTGCTTCCCCGCACAACACTCGGAGAGCCAATCACCGCAACTTCCGGAGGCAGCTCAGCGAATGGCGATGCCGAAACATATGTCTAGACCAAAATACGCAGTCTGAGTTGTGACATTAAGCAATGCAAAACGTCACGCTTGCATTGCTTAATGTCAGAACTCAGACTGCGTTTTTTGGTCTAAACATATGTTTCGGCATCGCCATTCGCTGAGCTGCCTCCGGAAGTTCCGGTGATTGGCTCTCCGAGTGTTGTGCGGGAAAGTAGACGCACAAAATTTTTTTAGAATGTAGAATAATCGGGGGCCTGTGCACTATAGAATTTTCGACGTTGTCACAGCGAGCGAAGGAACAGGCTGGCCACGATTGTGCGGCGAGTCGGCGTTCGGTTGAGCCTCGCGGCCAATCAGCACATCCAAAAAGACCCCCGGAGTAGGACTCGGGGGACCAATCGCTGAGCTGACGCCGTCTTCGTGGGATGACGTCATCTGTGCAGGAGGGCTGCTCACGTGGCTTTGATTATTCTAAACTCGTATTCAACTCAAGAAACGTCCTCAAAAAAGAAAAAGAAAAATGTTTGGCTTTACGCAGAACGTTATACTGATTTCCGCTTTCGTACGTTGAATTAAGATATATGTAGATACACCTTGGACTAGCTTTAAGTTATTTTTTTTTTTATTATTATCGAGACGTACACATTTTAAACGACAAGAGCATCGTTTTCTGATTTTGTTTGATCCTTCAACGGCCAAATACTTCGCGTGGCACATGAATAATGCGCAAAACTTCCTCTTCTATGGATCAACGAGTATAGTTGGTGTTGGCTCAACGTTGCATTCAATGCTGAGTAATGCCAATCAACAGAATATATTTAAGATCAAACGAAACACGTTTAACTTGTAACCTCCAAGTCTTTTTTTTTTAGGGTTTTTTTACGATTTTTTTGTTACGCGCACATGCACGCGGCGCGTTTCATTGAAGCCGCACCGGAACAACCGACGTCACGCAGAAAAAAACAGTCACCGGAAGCACGGATGGGCGTAGCTCGCGTAAGAAGTGACCTCACCGCAGCTCACGCGGCACATAAACATGTTTGTCTCCTCGTCCGGGAAAAAAGTTCAACGGTGTTCCTCGTTTTCAAACGCGACTGCCTGCGTCTGTGTGTGCGTGGTCGTTGCACGACCGACGTGCGTTTCTCACGGAAAACACCTGTCTGTACCCACGTTAAAACGAAGTCAACGCTCCCGTGAGTGGAACCACGACACATTCTACAAAAAACAACAGCGAAAAAAACACACACACAAGGAGCCCGACAATGGCCCATCGAAGCAGCATCTCACTATCGGCGGAAGTGCTTCAGTTTGCGTGACGTCATGACAACTATTGGGGCTTCTTTGTTTGTTCGTGAATATGTGTGTGCGTGCGTGCTTACTACGATAAGTCTGTCGTCGACTCTCGTATCGATAGAGTGCGGGCAAGGTTCGCGTTGGTGTTGCAAGCTGTCGAAGCTGTCCGGCGACTTTCCTCAACGCGGCAGCCTTCGCCGCCGCGCAGCCCCAACCTTCGCGGCAGCAAAAGCGGCGCACCGCTTTTGGTGACGTAACTCCTTTCCGATGACGCAAAACGGATGCACCCCTCCGCAGCTGGCTCGACGGAATAGGAAGTCACGTGGCGAGCAGAAACCAATCGGGAAACACCGAAAACGTTTTTTCCAAGCTGCAACGGCCGTCACAAAGCTCGCAGTTTGTTCAGCAGATGACGGGAATTGTATTCTTTTTTCTTTTTTTCTTTTTTTTTTTCCGGGATTGTTTCACAGTTCGTCTGCAAACGTAGCGAGCGAGTGTGCTCAGCAGACGACGCCAGTGCTGCATCGCGTTGCAGACGGTACGGCACGGAGCTCCACACTTTTTTTTGTTGTTGTTTAGCAGACGATAAAGAAATAACCGACGTTCTTTTCGTTTCGTGCAAGATCTCCGCAAACGAAACTAGGTCCACGGAATCCGGAGGTGTTGCTACAAACCTAGGACAACACAACGGTGCCGATTCCGGGCATATATTTCTTATTTGATTGTGTGTCTCGATTTGTGGAAGAGTATTCTGCGATCTCACCGCCGTCCGAAGAATGCAGCATCAAAAAAGCACCACGTGACCCAGTGGAATTCATCCAGAGGAGTACCGTTGGATATGCCAGGCGATTCCCCTCGTAAGATGGCGGGTAAGTTCCTTTTTTTTGTTTCTTGCTTGGGGCGCTTTATTGAGGATTATAGGTTCGCCCATAACGGTTACTTCACCATTTCTATGAGTGTTCTGACTAACCTAACCTAACCCAGCTAGCTTAACCGAGCCTACCTAAGCTAATCTAACCTAACATAAGCTATCCTAACCAAACCCAACTAATATAACCTAATCTAACCTAACCTAACCTGATCTAAACTAACTTAACCTAACCCAAAATAACTTAACCAACCAAATCCAACTTAACCTGGCCTACGTTAATACAACCCGACCTAAAAAGCCTAATTGAACCTAACCTGCCGGATTTAGCTATAGAGGCTGGCCAAGCTCGATGTGGTGCCACAGATATACGTATAATAAAGTAAATTAATGCGTGAATTTTTCATTTGAATCTCCACGCGCACAAACATGTTATGCGCGCGCACGCACATCACGTAAATGTTTTCAGATGAGGCAAGACAGTGTAAATGTCTTCACTTGAGGCAACGAGAAACAAATACGAAGAAGTCTAAGAAGTGGCTACACATGACACTATGTCCACTCGTCTGTTTCGCCCTTTTTTTGTCCAGAGATTTGACAGGCAGTTTAAAGTTCAAAACTAGTGATTCAGTCAACAAGTTGTCTGGGGGCTGTCACGAATAGGCGATGAAACGCTCACGGAAGTGTCAGCTTCGGCGAGCGTTTCATCCCTTCTCCACCACCTCGCGCACTCGGCGAAGGCAAATGTTCAAGTACGCAACGAATATGTTACGAGGTTGACATAAATATGGCATCAAAGTGTTCATAAAGAACCGCACTCCACAAAAGGAAGGGCGATGTCGGCGCATCGAAAACAAAAACAGTCATTCTTTATGCTGCAAATATATATATATACCTTCAGGCTTTTTTTTTTTTTTCTTTTTTTTTTTAGATTTGTATTAACAAAATTTTTTTTTTCGATCTTCGACTTACATGTCGTGGGTAGATTGTGTTTACGTGTGTGTTTGTGTATTGCACACTTGCGTATCTGTGAGTGCGCGCGTGTGCGGTGGGCGTTTATGTGTGTCTGTGTGTGCGCGTGCGTGTGTGCTCCAACATTGTATTGGTGCTCTATCTAAATATAATTCAGTTGCTTAAGACTTCGTTTCATTCTAGGGATTGAACTTTTTTTTTTTTACATTTTAAATAGTTTATGCTTTGTGTTTTTTAAACGTAATTTCGGTCAGGTACTTCTTCGATTGTGCGCAAGGCTTGTTTCTGGTGCGTGTAAGCTTCCATATTTGCTTTGTTTATTGTGTGACATAAAAAAAGCAGTAGGACGTGACTGAACTGTGGTCCCTGATTGATAGGGCGCGTGTGTTTATTTATGAAAAGGATCGCCTGCCTATGGCTTGATGTGACAATGTGTGTATTGCTACTGCACTCTGCATCCCAGCAAACCCAGCGCTGCTAATAGTGCCACGTGACTACTCGCTTCACGTGTCACTTCCCACCTCTCCGAAGGTCATGTGGCACTCACATTTCACTCACTCATTTTATCAAATAAACGTTGAATTGGATTGAATTGAAACGGAGCATAGACCTTTCGCATTCCGATCGACGGAAGGTCTCTAACCTGCCGCTCCTCTTTTCGAGAAATCTGCGACCGAAAATTTCCGCAACGATCATTTGAACAATATAAATCTTCACGATGATCAATCTATTCAGGTCCGGGTTCAGAAAACGTCTATTGAATTCTAATGCTACAATAAGAGATCAATACATATACCCCGAAAATGATCGGCATGTTTTTTTGTTTGCTTGTTTCTTCCCCCGTGTATGGGAATTTTGACGAACTTTATACGCGAGGCGCTATTTCGAAGAACCATGTTTCTTTTTATTTGGTATACTCGGGTTGTTGTTGTTGTTTTATCTACGTCGACGCTTCTTGCTTGGTAATTCCTCTTTGGCGGTCTCCATGGTGCAATTCCGCAATCCCAACGGCTGAGAACTAATAAAAAGCAGAAGAAGCGGGAGAAGAAGAAGAATCGCCATCCTGTGTTTCTTAGGCTTGATTGCACACATGAGTGCGCGTCGGTTTAGCACCTATTCACATCGGGACAGAAAAAAACAAGATTTGGACTGATGTTATGTCGGAATCTACAGCACAATCGCCTTAGCTGTAAGCACTCTTGTACACGTTCCAAAAAAAAAGAAATCGATTACGATTACAATTCCCCCGGTTAAAAAATATTCATTAAAAATTCCTCGACTCCTTGAGAAGCAAAAGTACTCGACCGTTACTTGAAAAGGTGACCGTTACTTTTCCAATTTCTCCGGATTTTCAAATCGACAAATTTTTCTGTTGGTTTGAAGACGGGTCTCTATTGCTTTCCGTTATTGGACTAGAATCACCAGGACTATAAACCACCTACTCATCTTTCTTAGTCCAAAACCTTTGGCAGCCCAGCCTCCTGTAGTAAACTTGGTTTGACGATTCCTTCCTAGGAAACTTGCACAAAGGGCGCTGTCAGAAAGGAGGGGGGAAAATGGTGACGGTTACGTGAAATTTTAGTACTTCCAAAAGTAATCGGATCACTTTTGACAATATTCCCCAATAAATATGTTCAAATGTTTACAAAATTACTCTATAAGTCTCGACGGTACAACCGATCTCGACGGTACAAGTACCGTCGAGATCGGTTATAACGAAATGGCGGCTACAGCGAAGCGATCACGATTTCCCATTCTCTCTTGCACTTGGTTATAACCGAAGTCGGTTATAACGAAATAGCGAATATATCGAAGTGATTTCTGATTTTCGTTGACTTCGTTATAACCGGTCTCGGCAGTGATTCGATTACTCGTAATGAGTGCGATACAAGTCTGGCGTCATTGCACGTACCACCACACAACATACGCTGCCGGCGAACCTATCACCTCGTTCGCTAACTCTGTTTACACCCACGAACGTCGACATCTGAAAAGAGCAAATTCTCGGACAAACGGCACTGTCGAGGATCGTTCGTTGTCGCCGGGAAAAAGCGGCTTTTGTTAAGTTGCCGAGCAATTTGTTCGGCTGGTGCGAACAACGCCCCAACACGCTTACAGTCGACAGCCGAGGTTCTCGAATGACGACCATTTGAAGACTTCAAATTCCCGTCGCGAGATGTAAAAGTGACAGTCTTGAATTCTGAGCTGTAAGGCCGGGCGGCGACATTATAGTCAGCGCAGCATGAGATCATTGTAGAACTCCCTTAAAAGAAGGGGGGAGGGGGGGGGGGGGGAGAAAAAGTTCGCATCTTCAGAAGCAGAACCCAGGGATCCTGAATTCAGTCCTCACCTACGGCCACTCGACGCCCCACCCCTGCCCGCTTGGATCTGGACGAGCATGGTATACCGGCGTGCGGTTAGGTAGCACTATTCTGTGATGCGCGTCAAAGACCTCAGGCTAGCTGCGGCACTGCACTGGCTACATTTCTCATTTAAAGCGCGAACCAGTGTCGCCGCACCTCAAAGGCAACCGACCTTACACCGTACAAACAGAAAAAAAAAGTGTTGAGTGTGTGTTGAGATCACTGTTCTTTTTAGCAACGAATAAAAAAAAAAGAAAGAAAGATGCAATGCTCCCAGCTCCCATCTTGGAGCCAAAGAAAAAGATCCGGAACTTGCTTTAAGTGCAACATCGGCGTCAAGGCAGACATTTTTCGCTTGGTGTGGGAGTGTCCAAAGTGCAAAGACACGGGGGCAAAACGTCGACCAACAGACATCGCGTCTATGAAGGCGTTGACACATCCACCAGACTCCGAGAGTGACAGACGAAGAGTCTTGAAAGGACTCCTGGATTTTATCTTTGAGGCCAAGCTGGTCATATTCATTTAGATTTAGTAACCTTTCCTTAGTGCCAGCGTCCAGATCTTAATATCACCGGCGCACTCCCTCAAACCCCCTTCCCTCTTTTCTTCCTTTTTTTTTTTTGTTTTACTTTTCTTCTTTTATGGCATTAAACGTTTTCTGACTGGTTGTCAACTTCTTTCTGGGTTTGCCGACGAAACATCATACAAAATGATCATCGAACAATTTCAATTCCTCAAAGCGACCTCTACATCGAAATATTTTGTTTCTTTTAATTTTAAACAACATGTTTTTGTGTGTGTGTGTGTGTGTGTGTGTGTGTGTGTGTGTGTGTTTGTGTGTGTGTGTGTGTGTGTGTGTGTGTGTGTGTGTGTGTGTGTGTGTGTGTGTGTGTTTGTGTGTGTGTGTTTCTGAGGGCATACATAATCCAGATATTCAGATGAACAGACCATTTACGTGAATTGCAAAAGCACCGAAGAATGTGCTACATTTGTGTGCACTACATAACAACGCGCTGCTTCCAAAAAGAAAAATGCTTACACGAGGAGCGGGCATAGCGCGTGGCGCAGAAGCCAGATTCCAGTGAAGTAAAGCGACTGCACATGCGCACTGCCGATAGCAGCGCCACCGCAAAGGCGCTACGTTAGCTCCGCGCGTTGGCGTGTATACCGGATGTTTCAAAGAAGATATTCAGAAATCACTAAAAAATAGTGTTTAAAAAAAATTAACTCTTTCCGTGAACAAACTGACAGCCACCGCAGACGTCAGGCATTTCAAAAACAATTAGCTAAATAAACAAATAGATAAAATTTACCAATAAACGCTTTAGTCAGTGAAGATAAATATGTGGTTCCGAATAAAAACCTGCTGAGCATCATCAAAACCTGTACTATATCAACTTGTTTTAGACAGATATAAGGCAGATGCAGCATTGTACGGCGTTTGAAAAAAGAAAAAAAAAAAAAGTAACTGAATTTTACTAAACTTTTTTTTTTTTTTTTTTTTAGGGCGCAAGTTTGCGTTAGCGGTTCTGCCTCCTAGTGGCTGAGGCGCGCGAGGCGCATGCGCCATACCCTCCTTCTTTCGAGGGAATCGAGTCGGTAGCTTCGCGCCTCGGCCACGTGGAAGCAGGACCGGCGGCACAAAACGCGCTCTCTACGTTTGTTA